GTCTAGTATGGCCGTTCTTATGTTCTAATTTATGGTTATTTAAGAAGGTCATTGATGGGCATAATACAATTTGACTGAATGACTGAAGAGCAATCATGACACCTGCTACAAAATCATTAACTTTTTTTTACTGCAGGGAAAAACACTGCAATCTAAGACTGGATTCAAATCCCACTGAAGTCAGCGGAAGTCTTTCCATTGATTTCAGTGGACTTTGGATTAGGCCCAATATGGAAGAACATTTATACAGCCAAATTTAGATATCTTTATTCACTCCCATGGAGAGTTTTCTGAAAATAGGTTGAGTAAAGAAGAGAAGACTATATTTTGTCCCATTGAGACTTTAAAGTTGCTCTAAAATAAAGAGCTTAATAAAATGAGGCAGAAGCAAATGAAAGTTGGGATAATATCCCTGTTACCACTAATGCTACAAACAGAGATTTGATTTGTTAATAAACTACTCTCCTGAGTAGGAAATGAGGAAGAAATGCTTTGTATGGACATACTACAGTGCATGGATGGTATTTTTGATGGAGTTTAATATTTGTGCCTTTACCCTGATGCTGCTAAAAATACTCAGAAAACAAACTGACTAGTAGCAGATGAAATTAAGAGAGAACAGGTTGGCACAATGAGACTGGATTCTTAAAACCTATTTTCTGCCTAACTTTGAGATTTGAATTTCTCTCTAATTTATTGCAACAGCCTGTATTGATAATAGTAGCACTCAGCTTCGCCCAAGTTAATGTAATAGCTCTATTATGACAGAAATATATATAATCTGAGATACATGATTATAGTCTACTTCAGATTATTTATTTTGCCAGTGTATGTAAAAGCCCACAAGCTATTGTAACAGACAAACAATGCATTAAAAGTAAGTTCAGTCTGTAAACAGCCATCCAAGAGGTTATCCACCAAAATACGGAAACCGGTGGATAGAGGTAAGTGGAGAATTTTACTACCAAACATAGTCAAAGGGAGGGTACTGAAAAAATCACAAAAGGGCTTGAAATGGAGTGGACCAATTAAACCTGGACAGGGGGAGATGCATCAAATATCAGTACCCAGGCTTCAGAAAGCTGTAAACCTGCAATCATGATTGTGAACAGCCTTTCTGCTAGTCCAGTGGGCAATAGCACATCACAAGGATAGAGAAGAAGCCACAGTACAAATGTATTTACAAGTAACTGACCCCACATGGACAGCTGAAGATGAAATCCAGGGAATGCTACCCTTCTGATTTATTGCCACCAACACACAGTAGCTAGGAAGAGAACATGAAATAAAAAGAGGAACTTTGGCGTAGTGATTTTACCCTGGTTGATCATACACCAAAGAGAAAATTGAAACACTTACACAAGCCCAGACTGAAACTAGCATTCAGTCATGGACTCATGCACCCCTGAACCCACAAAAAACAGCAGAATCCCCTGATGGTGACAGAGGCCCAGACCAGCCATGCAGAAAAGATTCTTCCCACAACCCAGAGCTCAGAGGAAGAATAACTGAAGGTTATCTTGATTAAGTCTGCACTCTCTATTGAGACATCAACTAACCACATTTTTTATTTTAACTAGTGTGTGCTCTCTCTCCTTTATGAGTCATAGAAAACTGGCCTAGGAGATTTCAAATGATAAATTTCAGCAATTGCATTTGATAGTCTAAACTTGTCCCTTTGGGACCAGTCCATTCAAGTAGTAGGGAAGTGCCTTAAGAACAAGTGAATCCTGGAAAGTGTGATAAATGTGTTCAGTACTAAAAAAACTGAGCTTCTCCTGTGGCCCATAATAGTCTAGTCTCTCGCAGGCTGTCAGCCTTTGGTCTTGTTTGAGTTTGAGGGTTTGGGTGGGTTCTGGGTGGTGTCGGAGGCCTGTGATAAGCAGGAGGTCAGATATAATGATCTGGTGGTTCCATTCTGGCCTTATCACTAAGGCTTTATGTCTCTCCTGACCATAAAGCTTCCAGACACAGTCACTACACACACATATCATATGTATTCACTGATACAGCAGTTGTGAAAACACATACAAAACACTGAGAGCAGGAAGAAAACACATGAGCCTTACTAGCATGCTGAGGGAGACAGCAACAGAACAATTGTTGGAAAATACCTTCTTTTTCTACTTCCCCAGTAAATAAAACTTTGTGAAACAGTCAGTATGTACACAGTTACTGCCACCGTTTCCAGACATTGTGAGGTTGAAAAACAGCTGCTTCCACCACAGAGTGCCCAGCAATCTACCCAACTGTGGTGCATGTCCTAGAAATGTCCATGTAATACTTAGTACTAGATATACCCACTAGCAAGGTAGACACAACACAAGCCCATTTAGGATGAACTGACCTCAGTGAGCTATGCTGCTGATCAGCAGGCCCAAATGTTTGCTGCAGTCCAGAGGTTATGTCCCTGTCAGCAATACCTCCTGTAAAGGAAGGTTGCATAGCACCGAAACATTATGTGTCATTCCAACAGCGATAGTACCTAATAGAACAATTAGTAAGTATATGGGGGGGGGAGGGAATCTAAACTCGGGGGAGGTGAGTTTGCCACAAAAAAAGAAGTCTAACTGACTTAGTAAGTACCATTACCATGGCAAAGGATTCCATCTGTAAATAGTTTAGAGGGCAAAGTGCCTGTGACAGGACGTCATTCATTTTTTAAATATATTAAGGTCACCAGAATTTTTAGCTAATATCTGTTAACATAAGAGCTGGCCATTCTTCAAATTCTGACCCTTCCCTCTAGTTCTGTATTGCTTACTTCGCTATCACTTTGGCCTACGGTGTTTGTTGTCGGCCACCGATCTTTTGACTGTGTAACACAGTGATGCTGCAATCATAAATGTATTTCTGTTAAACCCCAAATGACATGAATGCTCAAATCATTCATATTCATAGCAGCACAATTTTATTAGCCTATCAGAGGGGATAGATCTTCGCTAGAAAGCAGCTATTCACATGGGCTGGGAATTGGAAGTTTAGTATTCATTTTAACAGATTTTTTCCCCATACTCTTTAAAGATGTTGATGTTCTTGCTAAGCTTTGCATTTAGAATGAGTCATAGCTGTGGTTTAATATTACAGAAGGGATTTCTATCTGGACTCCTTACAAAGCACACATTTTTTAATTTATATTTGAATCAGATGCAGGAAGAGATTAGCAACTTCAATTCATTAACTGTAAACAACCCAGCTCCTCCCAGCCTGAAATTTAGTAGAGATTTACAAATAACATTCTGGTGGGGGATGTAGTTCAAAAGAATAAGGTAACTATTCTTGAAAAACAAAATGTTGATTCAGCAGAGGGGATTGTTACTGCAAAAGACAAGAGGAAATCCCAGAAATGAGACTGAGCATGTAATGACATGAAATAGATCAAGCAGGCTAAAGGTGATGGGTGTGTGTTTAATTTTTCTGCTTTAGATACAAAGAAACAGATGTAATGTCAACAGTACAGACTTTGGCTGGAATGAGCATCCCATTCAAAATAACATGGTGTAAAAATATTATCCTTTCAACTCTGTTCATTGTGGTCACACTTATAATAATCTGGAATAACAGGTAAACAGAATGTTAATTGAATTTGCAGATACAAAACTGGGCGTGCTGTGAGCACAGGGAACTAGAAAGGAAAATGGCAGGAAATGATTCAATGTGGAATAATATAAACTAGTATTATGAGAATGAAATTATCCAAAGGAGGAGAAATATTTGGAAAGCAGTAGAGCAGAAAAAAAGACAAGGGGCTTAATTTTCTAGTCTGGCTAAATGGCACTTAGCATAATACCTGATTCTGGGAGCAAAGACGGCTATAACCCTCTTTTTTGTTTCTCTGATCATGATATCAATCAGTATGTGTTTGGTATCCAGCATCAATCAGAGCAGCCTAACAATCAAAGCAGTTTTGGATACACAAACCATCTATGACCAGGCCCTTATTAAGTGAAACCAACTAGTGAAAAGTGATCTTCTGAAACAGATAAGTGGTTTTTTTTGTGTTTGTTGTTGCTTGCACAGATGTTTTATGGAATGACATTTTCAATTTAAATAGGAATGTCTAGTGCTGTATAGATTAAAATAAAATCTAAGATGCTTTGACATTTCCCCCTTTAGTAAATCTCACAATGTACTGTAATTATTCAAGGCCTGATTTTGATCTCACTGGCAACAATGTAAATCAGCAGTGACTCTGCTAAAGTCAACACCAATGTAAAATTTCTATAAACAAGATTAGAATAAGGCTGTTATAAATTGTTCTTGGTGAAATGTGTGTTTATCTGGGACAGCCAAGCAAGCTTCGCTGGTGAAACTAATGAAGAGGAAAAAGATCTTCCAAAACAATTTTATTTGAAAAGGCTCCAAGTTGTACATTCCAGCCATGTAAGATAGGGTCCCTTAATTAGAATGAGTCTGAATGCCTCTGAATGATGGGCTCAACATTGTTTCTTTTTTTTTTTTCCATTCAATCCTCCCTGGTCCTTATAAACTTTTTTTGTAAGCATCAATATTTACAATGCAGAGACTAGGATCATTTGATGTAGTGAAGGCCTGGGACTAAAATAATGAATGTCTTTTTCTGTAGAGGGGGGAAGGGGTAAGTTTAACAATTTTGAAGTAGGAATGTTAAATTTTGATTAATTAACTAATCATATAGATGATGGGAATTCAATCAACTATTCAATTAATCAGTAAGGACTTCTGCATTCCACCTTTGAAATGCTGCATGGAGCCTTGGGCCAGCACAGAGTTCCACTGACCCCGGGCTCCACACGGGCACTTCCTCTTTGAAATGTACAAGAGCCCCAGCGGGCCATACCGCTGCCCCCTCCTACAGAGCTGGAGAAAATCAGGTTTTAGGTTGGCTCCCTCCACCACCCTCTCCTCTTCTCAACCTCCCACCCCCCATTGCCTCTTTGTGATAGAGGCACCCGGGGGGGAGGGGAGGGTAGAGGAGAGGTGGGGAAGCAACTAGTCAACTAGTGTGTCGACTATCTGATAAACTTTTGTTTATCGGATAGTCGACTAGTTGATTAGTCGCTTACATCCCTATTTAGATGACATTTGCCAAGGATAATTCTCTAAATACACTGAGGTTTGAGAGCTGCTAGAAGGTCATGTGTGCATTCTGGTGAATTTTAGATGATTTTCACCTTAGAGGGTGTGAAAAAAAAAGGACTAAGAAAGAAGAATAAGTTTATAGTTAAGGCACAGGACTGGATTTTAGGAGATCAGGAGACTTCTTCTGTGATCTGTCATGTCTCTTAATCTCTCTGTGCCTTCGTTCCCCAACTGGGATATTTCCTACCTCATAGGGATGTTATGTTAAAGCTGATGATGACTTCAGATACTCTGTTGAGGAAGAGCAGAAAATTCTCAAACAGAAAATAACCAAAAATGTGTGCAGTATATAGAAGTACCTATAGTGGCCGTTGAATCCGTCTGAGGTCATCAGAGAAATCATCCTTTGAAAAGTGCTGTTCCCAGAATCCCTTTCTGCCTCAGGGCTCTCCCTATCTATACGCTTCTCCAAACTTTCCTCCTCATTACTAGTTCTGCTTCCTTCTCTCTCCCACTGAAAGCTGCTCCCCTTTCTGTCCCCTTTTCCTCCTTCTTTCAGGATTACTTCACACCTTGCTTCTCCTCAGAGACTGATCTCTTGATGCCTTGCAGCTCCCTGCAATAGACACACTCCAGTTCCATTCATCTTGCTGTGCACAGCTTCAAGGAGGCTGCAGGGGGCTGGAACTGGCTGCTGCTCTGGAGAAAGAGGTGAGGAAACGGCTGCTGGCAGGGTGTCTCTCTGATTTTCTTCTTCAAAATGTGTTATTTCATCAAACATTCAGAAATAAACAGCAAATGTTAGTGTTATAAAGCAGAAAGCATTGAGTCCTCCAGTCTTCAAGGAGTCCTTACTCCTCATGTCTTTCAGGCAGAGCCATGTGTCAAAAACTCAGCCAGTCCCAATCCCCCAGAGATTTTAACTTCACATTGACCAAGTCTTTAGATCTGCTCCTCCAGATGATATGGAAAGTGATCACGGATAGGGTTATAATGTTACCTCTAGTTTTCAACTTTTGCCATGAGCTTCTCCAGCTGTACTGGCCACTTATTGCTCAGGCAATGGTTGACACCTACCTTGATGGGCCAGGCTGAATGGCTGCTTCAGTTTTATAGCTAGTATGGCCAATACTGTTTGAATGCAGGAGGCATACAAACTATATATTAGGAAAACATATAATACTAGTTTAAAATATATTCACGTACAAATCTCTTAAAAGACAATGAGAAACCCTGTAGCACCATAAAGGTTAAGGCTTGGTCTACACTAAACCTGGCAGGTTGGCTTAAAGGTATGCCAAGATGTGTAGCTGAATTTGGCTTACCTTAAACTGAGCCACCGCAGCATCTACACTGTGGGAGGATGATGGGAGCACACTCTATTTGCCTTATTTAGCACAGACACCTTAATTAACAAGGTTTTTTTTCTTTCCCTCCCCCTCTCTCCTCTTTTTCTGCTATTTATTTGTACCTCTGGACCCCTTGCTCCATTCATCTGAAGAAGTGGGTTGTGCCCACGAAAGCTCGTGATACTATCTATATTGTTAGTCTCTAAGGGTACATCTACACTGCAGGCTAAAGTCGAGTTAAGATACACATCTTCAGTTATGTTAATTGCGTAGCTGAAGTTGAAGTAGCTTAACTCGGATTTTGGCGCTGTCTACATAGCAGAAATTTGAAGGAAGAACACTCTTACTCCAATTTCCCTTACTCTTCATGAAATGAGGGTTAAAGAAGTCAGAGTAAGAAGCCCATTATTTTGCAATTATTTCAAAATAGCAGGCTTGCTGGGTAGACACACACTCTGGATACGTCTACACTAGCTTGTTAGTTCGAGCTAGATAGGGTAATTAGGGCAAGCGGAGTTGCAAATGAAGCCCAGGATTTAAATATCCTGGGCTTCAATTGCATGTTCCCGGGTGCCATCATTTTTAAATCCCTCTTAGTCCGAACTCCGTGCCCGCGGCTACACGCAGCACGGAGTAGGTAGTTCGAATTAAAGATCCTAATTCGAACTACTGTTACTCCTTGTGGATATACAGGTAGCTCCACGAGGAATAACAGTAGTTCGAATTAGGATCTTCATGTGTAGCCGCAGGCACGGAGTTTGGACTAAGGGGGATTTGTGGGACTAAGGCAGCTTCATTTGCAACTCCGCTTGCCCTAATTACCCTACCTAGCTCGAACTAACGAGCTAGTGTAGACATACCCTCTCTTATTTAAATAGTAATACAGAGGTAGCCGTGTTAGTCTGATCTTGCTAAAACAAAAGGAAAAACTTTGTAGTACTTTAAAGACTAACAAAATGGTTTAATAGGTGATGAGCTTCCGTGGGCCAGATGATCTGAGGAAGTGGGTCTTGCTCATGAAAGCTCATCACCTATTACACCATCTTGTTGGTCTTTAAAGTGTTACATAGTTTTTCCTTCTGTTATTTAAAAATAATGTGAGTTATTTCAAAATAAGCTTGCAGAATAGACATAGCCTAAGGTGTTACAGGACCATTCACACTTTTAAATCTGTTACGGAGAACACTTCTACACTGCAGGGCTAAACTCAAAATAAGCTATGCAACTTGAGTTACGTTAATTGCTTAGCTTAAGTCGAAGTAGCTCATTTCAACTTTTGACACTGTCTACACAGCATTATTTCAATGGAGCATTCTTCCCCTGACTATCTTTACTCCTCATACAATGAGGGTTACAGGAGTCAGAGTAAGCAGTCCTCCATCTCAACATTATTTTGACATTGTCAAAATAACTGTTTTTGTGTAAATGCAGACTATGTTATTTAGGAATAATGTCAGGTATTCCAAAATAACACTGCTGTGTAGACATAGCCTGAGTGTCCAGGGAGATTGAAGTGCTCTTCTCCTGTTTTTTGTATGTTACCATTCTTGATTTGTGTTATTTTATCCTTTGGTGCAGAGACTGTCTGGTTTGGCCAATGTACATAGCAGAGGGGCATTGCTAGTACATGATGCCATGTATCACATTAGTAGATGTACAGGTGAGTGAGACACTGATGGTGTAACTGATATGGTTAGGTCCTATGATGGTGTTACTTGTGGAGATTAGAGGCAGAGCTGGCAACAGGGTTTATTACAGGGATTGGTTACTGTTTCTGCTGCATGGTTTGCAGTTGCTGGTAAATATTTTGCTTCACCTTGAGAGGCTGTCTGGGAGGTCTGGCCTACTTCCCAAGGTCTGTGCAAGTGAAAGATTATTTTCCATATGTTGTAGATCACTGATGATGTGTAGGAGAGGTTTTAGCTGGGGGCAGCAGGTGATGACCACCCAGTGTTCTGTTTTTTAACTTGTTGAGCTATCCAGCAGTAGGTGACTTCTGGGTACCCATCTGGCTCTGTCAATCTTTTCTCTCACTTTTATATAAATCTCTTTTTTGCAGGAGGCTTGTGTCACCAACCAAGAGAACTGGAAGTTCAAACATTATTGACTTGAATGTATTTTTTTAATCTTTTTTTAATTTAGGAGCAATCCTGCACTGTTTAAGTCAAAGAGAGTTTTGCTGTTGACTTCAGAGAGAAGAGGTAAGCCCTTTTCTCAGCTATTGTACTACTTTCTGTACACAAACATCTTAACTTTCATGTTACACACACAGTTTCTGGCACTGATTGTTTGGTCCTTCTACTCCATTCATCACAAACAATATTCTCATATTTCAAGTGAGCAAAATTTACTTTACTGTCCTTTTAAAATGAATTTTGTTTTGGTTCCAAGACGCTTTAATTTTTGTGCTACAAGGAAACAGCTTTAACTTTGGTTTTGCTCTGGATTCAATTAAGCCTGGGAAGTCATTATAAGAGTTGCAGTATTGTGTCTTAAAGAGCCGTTGCCCAGGACTACCATGCCCAGCTGAAAAGGACATATTTATCTAACATTCATACTTGTTTGCATATGTGCTCTGATATTACACTAGCAGATTAGTGTTTTTACTGTAAATATTTGGGTTACTCTGTTTAAAGAATAATTCACCAAGTTCTATGTTTTCTAGATACATTTGCTGATCCCATACTCTGGCACACCTAGCAATGCACCTTGTTGTTTCAGAATAGCCTATTTAAGGACACCCAGGGTGTGTCTAAACTGCACCACTATTTTGAGATAACTAGTGTTATTTCAAAATAACAATGAGAGCATCTAGACAGCCATTCCATTATTTCAAAATAATTTTGAAATAACAGACGGCTTATTCCAAAATCTGTAAACTTCATTCTACAAAGAATAATGCCTATTCCGAAATAGCTATTTCTAAATAAGGCGTGTGTAGATGCTCCACTTCTAGTATTTCTAAATAACCCTTCAGCAGGGCCATTCTAAGTAATTCTTCCTAGGGCTCTAAATCGAGATAGCATGTCTACATTAGGGAAGCCTGCCTCAGACTAATTTTGAGGCTTCCCTGCAGTATAGATGTGCTATTTCAAAATAAGCTATTTCAGAATAACCATTCCAGAATAGCTTATTTTGAAATATGCAGTGTAGACGTACCCCCACATGAACAGCAGAAAAAAATGTTTTCGATTCTGTTAATGTCATGGTGTTCTCTTGGGAGATCGAGCCATCTCAATGTGAAAAATTTAAGCAAAGAATACTTGACCTCCATTTCATCTGTCTCCTTCTTTTTCCCCCTCCTCTGGGTGCCGTTTCCCTCCTTTTTTTGTTTTTCCTTCAACACGATCCATTGTATGTACTTGAAGACATCTCAGAAATAGATGTTCAAATGTCTGCCATACAAACGGAAGCTGACAAATATGCTTAAATTAATCTTATTAATCAATGGGTTGCTTGTTTGCACTATACTCACTATATTTGATAAAGCTAACTTTCTCATTACGAAATGAGACCAAAAAGTTCTATCTAGACTACAGCCTGTACAATGGCACAGTTATACCAATCCAGTTGTGCAGCTGTAAGCTCTCCCATGTAGCCGCTTTATACCGAGAGGAGAGAGCTCTCCCACTGATATAATTAAATGACCCTCTATGAGCGGTGGTAGTGAGGCCGAAAGAAGAGTATCTCCCACTGACACAGCACTGTCCACAACAATGCCTCTGTCTGTGTAACTTATTTTACTTGGTGGCGAAGAGGGGGGTCCTCATCTGAAGCAAAATAGTTATGCAGACAAAAGTGCTACTGTAGACATTGCCTAAGGCAAAATCCCACGAATTAAATCAAATGCAGGAGATGTTCACCGACAATATTCTTGTCAGCAAGATAAGGAAGTATGAATTGGATAAATGTACTGTATGGTGGATAGAAAGCTGGCTAGATTGTCAGGCCCAATGTATAGTGATCAACTGCTCGAAGTCTGGTTGGCGGTCGGTTTCAAGTGGAGTGCTCTAAGGATTGGTTTTGGGTCGGCTTTGTACAACATTTTTCTTAATTACCTGGATGAGGGGATAGATTGCATCCTCAGCAAGTTTGCAGATCACACTAAACTAGGGGGAGAGGTAGATATGTTGGAGGGCAGAGATAAGGTACAGAGTGACCTAGACAAATTAGAGGATTGGGCCAAAAGAAATCTAATAAAAACATAAGAATGGCCATACTGGGTCAGACAAATGGTCCATCTATCCCAGTATACTGTCCGCTCACAGTGGCCAATATGAGATGCCTCAGAGGGAGGGAACACAACAGGTTATCCTCACACGATCCCTCCTCTGTCACCCACATCCAGAGAAACAGATGCTAGAGACACTGTCCGTACCCAGCCTGGCTAATAACCATTGATGAACTTAACCTCAATGAATCTATCTAGCTCTTTTTTGAGCCCTGTTAAAGTCCTAGCCTACCAAGGACAGGGTAGGACCACTGCTCAGTGAGGAAGGTGAAACAGTAACAGGAAACTTGGAAATGGCAGAGATACTTAATGACTTCTTTGTTTCGGTCTTCACCGAGAAGTCTGTAGGAATGCCTAACGTAGTGAATGCTAGTGGGAAGGGGGTAGGTTTAGAAGATAAAATAAAAAAATAACAAGTTAAAAATCACCTAGAAAAGTTAATGCCTGCAAGTCATCAGGGACTGATGAAATACATCCTAGAATACTCAAGCAACTGATAGAGGAGGTAACTCAGCCTCTAGCTATCATCTTTGGAAAATCATGGGAGACAGTAGAGATTCCAGAAGACTGGAAAAGGGCAAATATAGTGCCCATCTATAAAAAGGGAAACAAGAGCAACCCAGGAAACTACAGACCAGTTAGTTTAACTTCTATGCCAGGGAAGATAATGGAGCAAGTAATTAAGGAAATCATCTGAAAACACCTGGAAGGTGGTAAAATGATAGGGAACAGCCAGCATGGATTTGTAAAGAACAAATCATGTCAAACCAATCTGATAGATTTCTTTGATAGTATAACAAGTCTTGTGGATATGGGAGAAGCGGTGAACATGGTATACCTAGATTTTAGTAAGGCATTTGATATGGTCTTGCATGATATTCTTATCAATAAGCTAGGCAAATACAACTTAGATGGGACTACTATAAGGTGGGTGCATAACTGGCTGGATAACCATACTCAGAGAGTAGTTATTAATGGTTCTCAATCCTGCTGGAAAGGTATAACAAGTGCGGTTCCTCAGGGGTCAGTTTTGAGACTGGCTCTGTTCAATATCTTCATCAACGATTTAGATATTGGCATAGAAAGTACGCTTATTAAGTTTGCAGACGATACCAAGCTGGGAAGGGTTGCAACTGCTTTGGTGGATAGGGTCATAATTCAAAATGATCTGGACAAATTGGATAAATGGTTTGAGGTAAACAGGATGAAGTTTAATAAAGACAAATGCAAAGTGCTGCACTTAGGAAGGAACAATCAGTTTCACACATACAGAATGGAAAGCGACTATCTAGCAAGGAATACGGCAGAAAGGGATCTAGGGATTATAGTGGACCACAAGCTAAATATGAGTCAACAGTGTGATGCTGTTGCAAAAAAAGCGAACATGATTCTGAGATGCATTAACAGGAGTATTGTGAGCAAGACACAAGAAGTCATTCTTCCGCTCTACTCTACACTAATTAGGCCTCAATTGGAGTATTGTGTCTAGTTCTGGGCGCCACATTTCAGGAAGGATGTGGAGAAACTGGAGAAGGTCCAGAGAAGAGCAACAAAAATGATTAAAGATATAGAAAACATGAGCTATGAGGGAAGACTGAAAGAATTGGGTTTGTTTAGTTTGGAAAGGAGAAGACTGAGAGGGGACATGATAGCGATTTTCAGGTTTCTAAAAGGGTGTCACAAGGAGGAGGGAGAAAAATTGTTCTCCTTGGCCTTTGAGGATAGGACAAGAAGCAATGGGCTTAAACTGCAGCAAGGGAGGTTTAGGTTGGACATTAGGAAAAAGTTCCTAACTGTCAGGGTGGTCAAACACTGGAATAAATTGCCTAGGGAGGTTGTAGAATCTCCTTCTCTGAAGATATTTAAGAGTAGGTTAGATAAATGTCTATCAGGGATGGTCTAGTCAGTACTTGGTCCTGCCATGAGGGCAGGAGACTCGACTTAATGACCTCTCGAGGTCCCTTCCAGTCCTAGTATTCTATGATTCACCACATCCTCTGGCAAGGAGTTCCACAGGTTGACTGTGCATTGAATGAAGAACAACTTCCTTTTGTTTGTTATAAACCCACTGCCTATTAATTTCATTTGGAGACCCCTAATTCTTAGGTTATGGGAATAAGTAAATTATTTTTCTTTATTCACTTTTTCCACACCAGTCATGATTTTATAGACCACTATCATATCCCCCTTAGTTTCCTCTTTTCTCAGCTGAAAAGTCCAAGTTTTTTTAATCTGTCTTTATATGAGACCCGTTCCAAACCCTTAATAATTTTTGTTGTCCTTTTCTGAACCTTTTCCAATGCCAATATATCTTTTTTTACATGAGGCGACCACATCTGTACATAGTATTCAAGATGTAGGCGTACCATGGTTTTACATAGAGGCAATAAAATATTTTCTGTTTTATTCTCTGCCCCTTTTTTAATTAGGTTCAACAAGGACAAGTTCAGAGTATATTTTACAACGTATTACAACAATGATTCATTATTGTTAAATAAAATACAAGCATGACTATAAAATAAGATTAAAATAAACTTAAGATATTTATTTGGATATAAAATGATGAGTGGGCTCAAAGTAGTCAATTCTAATATTACATGATTACTTTCACCAATTCCATTTACTCCTTCTACTTTTTGCTGTCCACTCTGGTCCCTTGCTTCTGTCCTCTCCCTATTCACATAGGTCTTCTGTGTGTGATGGCCGTTATTCCCACTGGAATACACTATGTCTATGTAGCACTGTCCAGGCTTGTAACCGTTACAAGGCATAAAATTACCTCGTTGTAAAATTCTATTGGGAATGCCATGAAGCATACAGCTTACAGAAACACAGACAAACTATGATTCATTTCCTTTGTTCACTTTTCATTAGCTGTTTCTGTATGAAAATGAATTTAAAAAATTAAGCGCCAACATTGGCAACATTATGTTGCCAATGGGGAATGTTCTGTACATGCTACAAAAAAGTCCCCCCTTTTGGACCTCCGAACAAGTGTATATATTCTTGATTTAGAATGCAAAATCTCCTCCCTTTTTTTCTCTGACTGATCTTCCTGAAGAATCTATAACCTCCTATAAAGGTTGAACCTCTCTAGTCTGACACTCTCTGATCCGGCAACAGCTGTGATCTTGCATGATTTTAGTTATCCAGATGTCCATTTATCATGGGCGTGGCCAAGTTTTCCACAGTCCTATAGAGTTTGTTTACAGCCAAAAGTCCTGGCTTCCAGTGTTATATGCTGTTATTTAGCCCTAATTCACCCTTAAATGTCTTCTAAGAGCCCAATAAGCAGTGGAAGTGTTGGTAACTCTGCTAGACAACATTGACCTCCCCGGGGTCAGCAAATTCTCTGGTTTGGCACTAGTCAGGTCCCGAGGGTGCAACACTAGAGAGGTTCAATTGTACTAATAATCCAGTAGTGAGTTTTATCTCATCAAGTCTTTGTGATATCAATTAAGTCATTGTTTAGTTTATGTACTAATACTTCCTGTTTAATTTCTGTTTATTCACCATACTTCTTGCATTTGTATATAGACATTTAAGATGTTGAACAGATTTCCCTCACTGATTTCCCTCTTGTTGCTCCTATGACTTTGTTGTAATTTTCCATCTCTTACCCCACAATCTAAATTCCCTCTAAATTGTGAAGCTGTGCAGCTGACTATTAAGAGCCATGTGGGTGCTCAGGGCTGTGGCGGGGAGGGATGCCACTCTCCACACCCCAGATGTGCTGCAGCACCCCTATTCTACACCCCAGTCCACCTCTCCCAGTCTCTCCCCTGGTCCCAACCCAGTCCCAGCCCAAAGCTGTTGCAGTTGGAGAGAGGCACCTCTTCTCCTCGCCCCCCTCTCAAGTGTTTCAGCAGGGAGAGAGAGTTGGGGGAGTCTTCTCTCCCACTTTAGTCCTGGGGCACCCCAAAGTCCTCATCCCCAGTGCCACCCCAGCCAGAGCACTCCCCCCCCCATGTCCCAACTCTCTGTCCCACTCTGAACCCCTCAGCCTTGTCCTGCCACATGTATTTTCCTATGTGCACCAGTAAGGAGGTGAGTTGTTACATAACTTCAATATTGGTGCACATAACAAAATTCATTCCACACATGGGTGGGAAAAATTAGAGGGAACATTGCCCACATCTAGCCCCTTTTTTATGCTAACCTATGGGCTTGTGTCACCTGCCTTCTTTGAACCTAATTTAAAGCTCTCCTCATGAGCTTGGAGAATCAGAGCATGAGTCAGTGAAATCAATGGGAGTTAGGTGTCTAAATATCTTTCAGGATCTAGGCTTTAGTGTCTCTGTGCCTCAGTCACCAATCTGTAAAATGGGGTGCATCACTTCGATTTCCTTCATCACAGCTATGATGGGAGGATAAATACATTAAAGATGGTGAGCTGCTCAGACACTATGCTAATGGGAGTCTCACAATTACCTGCATTTTTTGTAGAATGCAATTAGAGCTGGCTGCTGGGTTGTACATAACTGATACAAGCTGCACACTTAACTACTTTCTTCTGGCTCTTGCAGGAATTATCTCATGGTCCTTGCGATGCTGTCTCCTGACTCATGCCACAAGGAAGTTCTGGATGGGAACCGCTGATGCCTGCTAGAAGAACAAAGCAGCACGATTACTTTAAAAAGTAGATTATTCAGAAGACATTGTGAACTGGAGGAGTGTGTTTGTCATGTGAACATAGCACACGTAGCTATGCCTTTTTTAATCACACATGGTAACATATCCCAGGTTGTGCCACAATTCTGCTGGCAGGGGGAGGGAGAGCAGAGCAGGAAGAAAGGTGGATTCAAACCAATTTTGTACTTCCCTGATCCCAGTGATCCTAGAGGCTGTTTTGACCCTGAGTGTATGTTGAAGCATCCATAACTTCCGCCAGCTTGGAACAAGGGCAGTAAGGCCAGGGGATCACCAGTGCTCAGCACGCTACAGCGTGTCCCTGTGATATCTCTATGTGATGGGTCAGCAGAGCGTGCAGTACAGCTAACTATGCCCTCTCTCCCCCAGCTGCAGCATGCTATTAGATCCACAGTCAGGCCCCTTTGTACTGCTGGTGGAGTGCAAAGGCGCTGGAGTAATGATCAGGCTGCAGCCCATACTGCCTTTTCCTTTTGGAGTAGGGGAATGTGAATGTGGCTTTATAACAATCTACCCTTCTTTTTTCCTTCTCCATGATTAACCTGCTGGATATTTTTCAGTGAATTTTATATTAATTTATTTGTTTTTGTAATTTCTCATTTGTTTCATTGCTTTGAAATACTTAGTCAGAACTACTTTTTAACAGTGAGGGTAATTAACTACCAGGACAGCTTATCTGGGAATATGATCGATTCTCCATCACTTGCACTCTTCAAATCAAGCCTGGGTATCTTTCTAAAAGAGATGCCATAGCACAAGCATACTTTATGGAATTGTAGACTGTGGCCAAGTCCCCCAAGCAGCAGGGTGGCCTAGTAGTTAGGTCCCAGAGTTAGCTGGTGGCCTGGGGAATAGGCCCCTGCCACTGAAGCCTTGGGCCTAGGAATTCCAGCCTCTTATCAGAGTCTGGTTCTTCAGTTTGGGGTGTAGCCCAAGAGTCCAATTTCCTTCAGTGAAGGTTCCTTCTGGTTCTCCCCCTTTGTACTGGGGCAGGGGTTGGAGTCTTATGTGCTCCTATGGCTGACCCAGTAGACAGCTTTGGCTCAGGTCCTGCAGATGGCAGAACCAGCTCCTGTCTCTTCATTGGTCAGCCCCTAACTGAGCCAAGTTCTTCTCTTTTATTCTCTCTCCAGGCCTGGCATTGGCTGCAGATAAAACAGGGCAGGGCTAGTCGGGCCTTTTTTAATCCCTGCACTACCAGGCCCACCTCTCATTCCCTCACATAGACATTATTTGGTAAGGCTCTTTAGCCTGTGTGAGGGAAAGTGTTAGGCCACATGATCGGATCATTTGTGGCCTTAAAATCTCTGAGGCTATGTCTACACTACAGGACTACATCTAACTGGCGGCTTCTTGCACAAGAACAGCTGTTCTTGTGCAAAAACTTGCCGGGTGTCTACACTGCATGCGAGTTCTTGCACAAGTAAATTTACAGTCTAGCATCGGAAAACAGGGCTTCTTCCAGAAGAGTTATTCCTTTCCCCACGAGGAATAAGCCCTCTTGCGCAAGAGCTCTTGCACAAGAGGGCAGTATAGACAGGCAACATGAATTTCTTGAGCAAGAAGCCCCTATGGCTAAAATGATCATTAGAGCTTTCTTGCACAAGAGAGCATCCACACTGCCATAGACGCTCTTGCACAAAAGCACATCTCTTGTGCAAAAGCACATGCCAGTGTAGATGCACTCTTGTGGAACACTTTTTGCGCAAGAACTCTTCTGCCAAACAGTTCTTGCGCAAGAAGCTGCCAGTGTAGACGCAGCCAGGGTTTCTGCGCAAAAACATCTGTTTTTGCACAAAAACCCGCGGAATGTCCTCACCTCAAGCGTATTTTTGCACAAGAAAATCTACAGTCAATCGACGGATCAGAGGGCTTTTTACGGTGTAGATATACCTCCTTTTTGCGCAAAAGTTCTTACGCAAGAAGGCGTGTGTGGACGCTCAACAGGTTTCTTGTGCAAAAAGAGCATATCGCAAAAAGCACAGGTAATCTGATGGCCATTCTGTGGCCATCAGAGCTTTCTTGCGCAAGAGTGTCCATGTAGTGTGGATGCTGTCTTGCACAAAAGCACATCACTTTGAGATGTGGACACGCTTTTGCACAAGAAGTTTTTGCAGAAGATCTCTTCCACAAAAAGCTTCTTGCACAAAAACCCTGCAGTGTAGACAAAGCATGACTGTATGAATCTACATGCCTGCCTATTTCCTATCCCTTCTCCTTTTAGAAGCCTAGCTCAAAGTAAACTTTACATGCTGCACTGGATTTTCATTTGCCAGTGACACATCATGGTGACTTCTGTGTCTACACAGTACCTAGATCTTTTGAATCCAGGAAAGTACCTTCAAATGTAGTCTCCCTTCTAGGGCACTAGTTTTAAAATGGTGTCACTTAAAGTTATACCAATATAAAAGCAGTGTGAAGGAGTCAAAAATCGGACATTTTATGTATTGATAATCACTTAAATTCTGACCTTCCCATAGATTTTTCTTCTTATCTGACTAAAAGAAGGTGAAGAGTTTAGCATAACCTGGAGTTTACCAACATTTTAGATTAAATTAGAAGCACGTGATTTTTTTCTAAAGACTCTTATGTCTTATTATATCTTTTTGTGTTGGGATTTACAGATTGCCATATTTCATAACAAGCAAATGATTAGGCGTGGAGAACACTGACTCACCGTTGCTGGTTTGTTTCCTTATGCAAAGTAATAAAACATGTCCTAATGTGTTAGGACAAGGAATTTCCAAGAGAATGTGCTAGAAGCAAAGGACTTAATCTTGCACCAATGAAGTTGTTGGGCGTTTTGCTATGGACTTCACTGAGAGCAGGATTAGGATCAAGCTGAATATGTTGGAACCTACTTCTATTAAATCTATTCGTTCATGCACTTATACCATATAACCTAGAGAAAGATTTTTTATCCTTTATCCTTGCCATAAAGTGTTGTTTAAGTCAATGACTTTAGCTTTTATTTAAGTTTTGGGGTTTTTTTTTGTTTAAGTCAATGGTTTTAGCCAATGTTTTGGTGACTACACATGAACTGTGCACAGAATGTTAATTTTTTTAAAATAAATAAAACAATGAAATGGTCCCAATGAATGATCTTTATAAACTTTCTGCATGGTAGGGGCACTTTTATATTTGTAATGGGAAAGTATTCTTCTTTTCACAGCTGTTACCTGGCCAAAAAACAATGCATTAGCACAGCCAAAAAGTGGGAGTTGAAAGGAGCTATTAATTTCCTGGTGTTTTCAGGATTATGGACTATAAAGTTTCCTGGTTTTCAGACAGTACTCAAGAGCACGCCTTGGGTAACCAAATTCAGCTCTCAGTTATACTGAACTAACTCCCAATAAAGTTACTCATGATTTACATCAATGTGACTTTGTATGTTATGAATATATCTTGTCCTGTTGCTCTTCCTTAAATCCAAGCAAAAAAATCACTTATCTGAACCTCATCCTCTCCATGTTCTTTTGTTTGTTTATGCTTCAGCGGCACCTTGTACTAGGATCCCATTATGCAATATTGTGTATGAGCAGGGAAAGAAAAAAATATACTGGGGCATGACACTGTATATTTTTATCCCAGCTCTTGGAATATTGAAAAAATGGAGATTCACTGACTGCTGGAGCTGTTTGCTTAATATAATACAATCTAAACCTGCTGTTTTGGAAGGCAAATTTTAAATGTATATGGTGTAGGCTCTGGCCAAATAGTCATTATTTTCACATCTTCCAAAATTCACAGGAATCACAAACAACACATGTTGTCTTGCTACCATGTACTACCCCTTTCACACTGAAAAAAATGGCAATTAACAGTGAAGCAGGTTACATTAAACAATGAGAGTAATAATGTTAAGTCAGATTCTAGTCTCATCAAAATTGGGTGAGTCCTTTTCCTATGAGCCTTACTGGTAGCTTTGATTGGTTGTTTTGTTTCGGACATTGACAGTTGGCTTTTGTCTAAAAACAGTTGATAACAGTTTGGCTATGAAATAAGTTATCCCAGAACTATAAATCTATTGAGACAAAAGAGAGTGCTCTAGGATCATGGAATATTTTTATAAAGAGACAATGCAAATAAAAAGTTATGCAGAACGAAGAGTTAGGTTGCTATTTTTTATTCTGGAAGCCAGAAAAAATTATTATTTGTTTTTGCATTTGAAATTCAGGTCTTACCTACCCTTGAAGACTCTATGGATACTGGAGAATTAGTAAAAGTATAAGATTCCTATGTCTAAAGAATAAAAGTATATCAGTTGATAGGGGAAGTGATTTATAATCAGACTGTTAAAAATGCTCTTTTTTGCTTGTTTTTATTAATACCTGTTTCATTTCAATGTTCAATGACCATTTGGAGCAAATTGTTAAAGGTTCACTTCCAACCTATCAATTTAAAGAGTGAAAGTACACGCCACACATATGTGAGAACCCAGTATTAGAAGCAATGCCAACACAAGCTACATTCATGGCATAATATTTATATAAGGAAATAGAACTATTTTAATGGAATTAGATCTTAGTTGTTTTATATTCATATCACTATATCAAAGTTACAGTCCTAAATGTCTATACATCATATATACTGAGGAAATGATAGTGCTTCCTGTTTTGTCACATCTGGAACATTAGCCATCTGAACCTCCAAAAAAACTAGGCTAAATAATTTACCACACTATTTATTTCAAAGAGCTCCTTCCAGAATCAAAGGAAATCTACGTGCATGTTTCTAAAGGCATTGTTCATACAGCCTGTGATGTCCATCATTATGTTTTGCTGCTTTTGTAACCTAAATATAGTTCAATGGATTGGAATTCCATGGTTATCCCAGTTGATTCCTTTCCTATTGTGTAAGGACGAACAATAGGAAGCAAAGAATGACTAATGAACATAAGGTGTTGGAAACAGGTAAAAATCTTTACATTCATAATACCTGCTTCTCTTTTGGTATCTAATAAAGCCCTGTGATTTGACTAAATCTATCATGACTGGATTTATAACATGCTTTTTACATTGATCACATACACATTTTTCTTTAACTTGCCAATGTGTTATAGGATACCTTGCTGAAATAATGTATGGGAAGAAATAACCAACCAAAAATAGCAACAGAAAAATAATGTAAAAGAAACCCCAAGGAAACTGTAGGTTGAAGAGACGTATTGTGCCATAGGATACACTGTAATGTGAAACCATAATGTGTGGAAATTGTGTTAAATCTGAGAAAATTCTTCAGTACAATTAGAATTTCAGTGAAATAAGCATTTAATAGATTTCATTATATAAACATTCCCTGTCAAAGGTGTCCTAGTCAAAGGAAACTACAATAGTTTTCTCCTTTTGGTATCCAGCACAGGCACCCTTCATAGGTGTCTGGCTCTTCACTCATCACACAACTCTCTCCCTCTTGATGGCGCATTTCTAGGCTTAGGCTGCTCCATTCCCTTCCTATACTTTGAGATCCCCAGCGGGTCAGACTGCCTCAGCTGGCTGCTTTGCTTTCTCAGAGGCTAAACATAATGTAATTATCCATGGTTTTAAGTTATCACACAGCTCTTTCTAAGCCAGTAGATTCTTAAGGCAAAAGCATTACAGAAAAAAATTAAAAACCATAAAAGAACAATAGACACATGCTAATAAGCTAAAAGAACAATGGACACGTACTAATAAGCTAACTCCAACAAGGGCTCTGATAGGAGGCAGTCCTTCAAATCTCACCCATGGGTTCATGACAGCCAATTAGCTCCAAACAAACAGCCCATAAATGTTCGAGTTACTCCTTTATACAGTTACTCTGATCATGTCCTCTTGTAACAGGTGACCAGCAGACAAAAGTCCCACCCTCAAAGTGAAGCTTCAAAAGAGCTGAGTTTTTGCATACCCTAAAAAGATACAATAGTTCAAATAGTCCTTTAAAGCTCAAAATACTTACCCAAACTTACAATGGTCATGTTCTTCCCCTCCCTGAGACAATACATGCAATCCCACAATAATTAAAACATATTTGTCTTTGTAATATAATGATACTTAAACTTAACTCAGTAAGGTTGAACTTAATTGAATAAAACTGGGCCAGGAAATTGCTATATCTGTCACAAAGGGTTTCTATTGCTAAAACTTAAAGGTTAGGAAGGTCTGTCTAGAGAGCTACAAAGTTGCCTTGTATTGACCACTTGAAGCTCCAGTGAAGTTAATTCAGTGATCTGTGGAAAATCACAAGGAACACCAGTAGGAGTTTGGCAACCAACTTCAGAGGGGTCACAATTTCACTCTATTGGCTATTTCTAAATATGTCACATTTGGAATGGTTTAGTCCAGAAGGTCCTTATCACTTCTGAA